AGTTCTCTAGTTCCAGACATCCCAAAGCTCTTTCCAATCCCTATCCCAGTTCTACCAAATAAATAAAACAACAAAAGAACAACTCCTGCCTGGTCACTATCTGAGCATTGAATGAGATTGCATACCTCTAGATGAAAATACCTTGTGCCTGGCTGCTTGTACACATAAGAGATCAGAACCTGGGATTAAATCCAGTCTGTGTGCTACACTTATATAGATATATAGGGAAGAATAACACACAGCAATAAAGCAGGTTTTTGTGAGTGAAAGCAAGCTTTGAAAATATAGTTTAAACTTGTCTAGTAACTAAAATATAAGGTATGGATGTGTCATAAAAAACATGTTCTCAAAAAACATACAAGTGTATGAATGGCTAAAATGTACAAAAACTATGTAGCGTGTCTTATTCTTGAACAAAATTTATTTGAGAAAAATGTCAACTCACTGGAATGATAAATCAGTGTCACTGAGTACAGAATTAAGCACAAAATTAAAAGTAATAATAACAGGCCAAGAGATTTTAAGAGTCTAGGAGGAGCAAAGCCTAGTTAACTCTTGGAACCAAGCCCAGAGTTTCAGGAGAAAGGTCCAACACAGTTCACTACCTTCTCTAGGTCCTAAAGCAGTGACTTCTAGTGCAATGAAATGCAAGTATAAAGATTTTCTATGGCCACATGTGAGCAGGCATTGGGGCAAGATTATTGATTTCTTTCTTTATTTCCTTTATTCATATAGTGCCAACAGGCTACACAACACTTCCAAGAGCACATAGATAATCTATGAGATCAGTTGCCTTGGGACATGTACAAGGTATTAAGTAAACTGAGAGTAGGCTTAGCTAGTAGAGTGAACTGTTGGATAGGATTTCGGAAACTATACATTTTCACTAAGACACATTTGAAGTTCATTTCAATGATGCTATTAATTACTAATATTACACCAAAGTGGCTATACTTTGGTGACCCCCAAATACAAGACCTTTAGATTTCCTAAGAAACTGTTTTCTGTTCTTGCAATGACTAATCCTTGCACTTTAAACAGATCAAGCAATACAACCCCAACTTCCAGCATTTTTTGCTATCTTTTCTACAAACAAAAGTTATTGTATTCGGAGATGAGTTTCAAAACTGCAAAATGATAAATAGGATGTGATTCATCTGCGGGCAGAGCAATTTGAAATGGTAAATGCTACACCTTTAGCTTTTTTTCTGAGCAGCTCTGGTCAGTTTGTGCAATGATTTGTCCCTACTTCTTAAACCAATCAAATGGTGTAGTAGCCCTCCAGCAAGCAAAAAGTTTAGGATGCTTTTTCTGAAAAGAAATTTAATTTTTATTTGGAATGTGAATTTTTAGTGTATACTATGAACAGGATCTGGTCAAGCAGCTGCAGCATTACCCAGTATATGTTGTATAATGAATGTTACTGAGATCTGAATTTTCTGTTTGAAGAATAGGAAATCATGATGTGTGTCAAATGACATACGGGAGAATTCCATATGTTTTGTAACTAAAGTGAATGACAAGTGACCTCACAGGTAGACGTGTGCAAATGATCACAGAATTTCCACTTTATAAATATGCTTTATACCTTAATGTATCATTTTTAAGTGTATGTATTAGAAACATCATTTAATATTTCTCTTGCTTTAAAATTGTTTTGTTTTAAATTACTTGATATTTCAGAAGATCATGTGAATGAGCTACTAAGGAATGTGACAAAAGACTAAAACCTCACAGTGACACTCTATAAAAAGGCTGAAAAATCCAATTCCTTTTAAAATATATAAAAGTAGAATCAAAGCGAATAAAAGCTAAACTCTGGTCAAACAGCTGAATAGATGGATAAAATACATATACCACAGCTGTTTTTCTTGTTAAAGAATTTGTATTGCCATCTATCCCATTCCGAGATTTACACAGGTCTGCACAACACCCTAATAATTCCTACCTTACCTTAAAATGCTTCATTCCCTCTCCACATGATTTAAAGCAACCAGGGGATTGTTAGAAAGTCTTTACAATCTAATTAGACAAGGTTATATTTGAATGTGCCTGTTTTTATGTTGTGATGACAAAGATATTTAGATTGTGCAGGGATGCAATGGTAAAAGCATTCCAGGAATTTTCCTCTTGCTTCTACTGGATTAAAATGTTACTTCACTGTGAAAGAACAAGATGCTATCCTCAAAGAGATTTTCCATTAATTATTTAATTTTATTCTTTGCTTGTTCAGAGCATAGCGAGTTTCTTTATAGAACATAGTATTAGCCTGAATTCCTCTAATTGGAGATATTTATGAGAAGTATCCAATATGCACTATTATAACCAGCATTTTTTTTCTGGTTGTAAAAATAAAATAATGTTTAAAAACACTAAAAACCTCTATATTTTATAGAACTAGGAACTTTTTTTAGCAATATGTACTACTGTATACTTTTGTTTGTATCAACCCAACTGTGCTATAATGCATAATTATTTAGAGGACACTGTGTAAAGTTTATATAAATGTGTTGTGGTTAGTGCTGACCACCAGTTATATGCCTGGAATGGTTAAAATGCCTGTCACTTGTTTCTTCAATTTCTTTATACTATTAAGAATATTTTTCTACATTTCCCAGCCAAGAGATGATATAAGAAAATTAAAGGAAATCTCTACAAAATAAGGAGAATTCCAGAAAAGGTTTGGGAGGATAGTAAGGACTAACATGATCTGTGAATGGGAAAGTGCATCCTATGACTCATCAAACTCTCCTCCAGTCACAGATCATGTTACAGGCAGTGTAATGACAGAACTTTTCTCAAGGACGGATGAGAAGGCAGGTCCTCATCGGAACAGCTTTTCTGCTGTTCTGTGTGAAGACCCAAAGCTGTTAACTATTACAATGCAGAAAGATCAGAGTCAGGAAGAGGACAGGCATACCAGTACACAACGTTCTAGAAAATTTCTCCAGGATTCAGCTGCCTGTACAGCATACAAGATACTTTATTATAGGTAAGTGATGTGACTAAATCTGTAGGGAATTTTTTAGCTAAACTTCAGCTTTAATGCTAGGTATTCTAGGTACCGCTATATTTATTGATGTCAAAAGTTCACTTTTCACCAATCAGCATAGTATTTAACAGATATAACCCACAATATACAGCGCTTATATAGATATAAAGTGCAAAGTAAATAAAGTGCAAAACAACAAATATCCAATTTAAATAATTTAATAAACCAATTGCATTCATGAGAAATTCATATATGTCCTGCGAATTAGTCCATTGTTAGGAATGGACTGGCCAGCAATGGTGGGACTCACCTGCCTTTTGATCTGCAGTACCAGGGCTGGCCAGCGGGTGCTCCCAGCAATCAGAGACTCAACCTTTCAGCCAGCTACACCTGGAACTGATGATGCTGGGGTATTTAAGGGATGGCCAGACCCACAGACTCTGCCTTGGTGTTGTGTTTGTCCTGGGCCCTGTATCTGTCCTGCATCCTGTTTCTGTCCCTCTCCCTCTGCCTGACCCTCTGTACTACGCTGCTTGTTACCTGTTTTGATCTCTGGCTTGTGACCCTGACCATCCCTCTGCCTGACCCTCTGTACTACGCTGCTTGCTACCTGCTGAACCTGGCCTGTGACCCCGACCATTCTCTGCTTGCTCCCCCTATACCTACCTGCGCAATTGATATTGACCCGGCCTGCCTGACGACGCTTGCTTGTATGTACTGTTATCTGTGGGTGGTTTGGTTTGGTTTGTTTGCACTGTATTATGTTTAGTATTGCACTGCGTTTATGTTTGTATGGTTAGTGTTAATAAATTGTATTGTTTATCACATATCTGAAGTCTGCGTTTCCCTGCATCAGTCACACACCTCTGGTCATACCTGGGAGCCCTGACATTACACCAAGGCCAATCCTGACCAGAAGTGGCTGCACAAGGAAGCCATCTTGGCTTGTTGATGGGAAGGATGGATCTTGATGAGGTTGAATATTTATATCTGCTAGTGTTTGATGACAGGGAGTATGCTTATCAAACTCTGAAGGAGTATACCCGGGATGAATTGCTAGAATGTATACGGCTCGCTCATGTTCTAGTAGATCAGGGCACAGAGTTCTCTGAGGTGCAGCCTTTGATTGAGGTTTGTGCTGAGTTGGTTTCATCTGGTTCCCCCGAATGCAGGGATGAATTTTTGCCACCATTTAGTGCAGACCAGGTAGAGTCCCTGGTGTGGTTATTAGAGGATGATGTGGGTTACTTTCTGGAGCGTTATTTCACATGTTCACCACAGACACTAAGAGATTGTATAAACGCAGTGCAGTCATTGACCAGACAGGCTTTGTGTAAGCTCAGCTTTGTTCAACCCCTACTGCAGACATGGACAGATTTGTTGCACCCAGCCTCAGTCAGCTTACAAAGACCCAGTCCTGCTTCTAATCTATTTCCTCAAAACTCTATTCCTGCATTCCCAACAGCTCCTCCTGCCCTGCTATCTACCGCATGTCAGTACCCTGTTCCCACTCGCTGCACCTATCCTGCCTTTAACCCTGTAAAAGAGCCCTCTGTAGCAACCGCTCCCTCTCCTGTTCCATCCTCCAGTTCTTCTCTGTCTCCAGCTGCTCCATTCGTTTGCAGACCTGCGTTTACTTGCAGTGCTCCAGTAGTTAAAACCAGAAAAAAGCGAAAATTCTTTCCAACCAATACCATTCTGCCAGTATCCAAACCGGTGAGCCTGCCTTCCGTGGTTCAGCCTGATGCCTCTACTCGGCCTGAAGCCTCTACTCGGCCTGAAGCCTCTACTCGGCCTGATGCCTCTACTCGGCCTGATGCCTCTACTCGGCCTGAAGCCTCTACTCGGCCTGATGCCTCTACTCGGCCTGAAGCCTCTACTCGGCCTGAAGCCTCGGCCTGAAGCCTCTACTCGGCCTGATGCCTCTACTCGGCCTGATGCCTCTACCCAGCATGATGAACTGATCCAGCTTGACGATCCTATTAGGCCAGATGACGCGGTGCCCGCTGTCAAGCCAAATGACCTGATGCCTGGTGACCCAGTGCCCGCTGTCCAGCCAGACGATCCAATGTCTGACCCAGTGCCCGCGGTCATACCAGTTGACTCGGAGCCCACTGCCTTGCCAGATGACGCGGTGCCCGCTGTCGAGCCAAATGACCTGATGCCTGGTGACCCGATGCCCGCTGTCCAGCCAGACGATCCAATGTCTGACCCAGTGCCAGCGGTCATCCCAGTTGACTCGGAGCCCACGGTTGTGCCTGGTGACTCGGTGCCCGCCGCCCCGCCTGGGGGCCTGAGACCTGTCGCTCCGCCTGGGGGTCCGGCGCCCGCCGCTCCGCTTGAGGGCCCGAGACCTGTCGCTCCTCCTGGGGGTCGGCGCCCGCCGCTCCGCCTGAGGGTCCGAGACCTGTCGCTCCGCCTTGGGGTCCGGCGCCCGCCACTCCGCTTGAGGGCCCGAGACCTGTCGCTCCTCTCCTCTTGGGGGTCCGGCGCCCGCCGCTCCGCCTGAGGGCCCGAGACCTGTCGCTCCGCCTGGGGGTCCGGCGCCCGCCGCTCCGCCTGAGGGCCCGAGACCTGTCGCTCCACCTGGGGGTCCGGCGCCCGCCGCTCCGCCTGAGGGCCCGAGACCTGTCGCTCCACCTGGGGGTCCGGCGCCCGCCGCTCCGCCTGAGGGCCCGAGACCTGTCGCTCCTCCTGGGGGTCCGGCGCCCGCCGCTCCGCCTGAGGGCCCGAGACCTGTCGCTCCGCCTGGGGGTCCGGCGCCCGCCCGCTCCGCCTGAGGGCCCGAGACCTGTCGCTCCATCTGGGGGTCCGGCGCCCGCCGCTCCGCCTGAGGGCCCGAGACCTGTCGCTCCGCCTGGGGGTCCGGCGCCCGCCGCTCCGCCTGGGGGCACGATGCCTGTCGCCCCGCCTGGGGGCACGATGCCTGTCGCCCTGCCTGGGGGCCCGATGCCTGTCGCCCCGCCTGGGGGCCCGGTGCCTGTCGCCCCGCCTGGGGGCCCGGTGCCTGTCGCCCCGCCTGGGGGCCCGGTGCCTGTCGCCCCGCCTGGGGGCCCGATGCCTGTCGCCCCGCCGGGGGCCCGGTGCCTGCTGCCCCGCTCGGGGGCCCGGTGCCTGCTGCCCCGCCCGGGGGCCCGGTGCCTGCTGCCCCGCCCGGGGGCCCGGTCGCCCCCGCCCGGGGGCCCGGTGCCTGCTGCTCCGCCCGGGGGCCCGGTGCCTGCTGCCCCGCCCGGGGGCCCTGTCGCCCCGTCCGGGGGCCCGGTGCCTGCTGCTCCGCCCAGGGGCCCGGTGCCTGCTGCCCCGCCCGGGGGCCCGGTCGCGCCCCGCCCGGGGGCCTGGTGCCTGCTGCTCCGCCCGGGGGCCCGGTGCCTGCTGCTCCGCCCGGGGGCCCGGTGCCTGCTGCTCCGCCCGGGGGCCCGGTGCCTGCTGCTCCGCCTGGTGGCCCGCTGCCTGCTGCTTCGCCTGGTAAACCGATGTGCCTCTGCCCGGAGTCCTGCCCAATGTGCCTCTGCCCGGAGTCCTGCCCGATGTGCCTCTGCCCGGAGTCCTGCCCGATGTGCCTCTGCCCGGAGTCCTGCCCGATGTGCCTCTGCCCGGAGTCCTGCCCGATGTGCCTCTGCCCGGAGTCCTGCCCGATGTGCCTCTGCCCGGAGTCCTGCCCGATGTGCCTCTGCCCGATGTGCCTCTGCCCGGAGTCCTGCCCGATGTGCCTCTGCCCGGTGTGCCTCTGCCCGGTGTGCCTCTGCCCGGTGTGCCTCTGCCCGGTGTGCCTCTGCCCGGAGTCCTGCCCGATGTGCCTCTGCCCGATGTGCCTCTGCCCGGAGTCCTGCCCGATTTGCCTCTGCCTGATGTGCCTCTGCCCGGTGTGCCTCTGCCTGGTGTGCCTCTGCCCGGTGTGCCTCTGCTCGTTGTGCCTCTGCCCGGAGTCCAGCCCGGTGTGCCTCTGCCCGGAGTCCAGCCCGGTGTGCCGCTGCCCGGAGTCCTGCCCGGTGTGCCAGTCTTTGATATCCCGCCAGTTACCAGACCCGGGCGGTGGAACATTTTGCCCAGCTAGGACTGTTTGGAGCGTCCTGAGGCCGCTCCTTGGGGGGGGGGGGGGTACTGTTAGGAATGGACTGGCCAGCAATGGTGGGACTCACCTGCCTTTTGATCTGCAGTACCAGGGCTGGCCAGCGGGTGCTCCCAGCAATCAGAGACTCAACCTTTCAGCCAGCTACACCTGGAACTGATGATGCTGGGGTATTTAAGGGATGGCCAGACCCACAGACTCTGCCTTGGTGTTGTGTTTGTCCTGGGCCCTGTATCTGTCCTGCATCCTGTTTCTGTCCCTCTCCCTCTGCCTGACCCTCTGTACTACGCTGCTTGTTACCTGTTTTGATCTCTGGCTTGTGACCCTGACCATCCCTCTGCCTGACCCTCTGTACTACGCTGCTTGCTACCTGCTGAACCTGGCCTGTGACCCCGACCATTCTCTGCTTGCTCCCCCTGTACCTACCTGCCCAATTGATATTGACCCGGCCTGCCTGACGACGCTTGCTTGTATGTACTGTTATCTGTGGGTGGTTTGGTTTGTTTGCACTGTATTATGTTTAGTATTGCACTGCGTTTATGTTTGTATGGTTAGTGTTAATAAATTGTATTGTTTATCACATATCTGAAGTCTGCGTTTCCCTGCATCAGTCACACACCTCTGGTCATACCTGGGAGCCCTGACAGTCCATTATCCATAAAGTGCAAAAGTCCTTTCACAACAAAGTGCAATAATTTATAATGAAATAAAGTGCTTCATGCAAAATCCACCACTTGCTGGTCCTTGTGTTCCACTCCATCTGAGTGTACCACCACCAGCACTGAGAACTCACCAGACAGCCATGACCTTCTCAATTAAGAGTTGGTCTATATGCGCTTGTTTGTATATATGGATTCCCCCCACTCTAGTATGTCAATCCACCATGTTCCATCCTCATAGATAAAAGGGCACAAGGAGACTCCAATAGTCTAAAATACCCTTTATTAAAATTTCACATCAGACATACATAAAACCATCAGTCAATCTGCTCACATTTCATAGTGCATTACGCTCTGCGCTTCTGTTTGAACACTCAATGTTATGTCCGGCTCGCCCTGCCTCACAATGCTTAGACTGCTTCACACTACATGCTTATCTCACCACTTCCGGCTCACCAGATCACAACTTCCTGTATATATATTATTTAACAGAATGCAAATATGATTTGTTATATACCAAACATGATATATTGTAGAAAGGACTCATCTTTTTCTTAGGAGGTGTAATGTGTCTGGACCTTGTAAATTAGGTGTGTTGGACATCTGACTGATTGACATTGTATAAATTAGTGTAGCTATTTTTTAGAAAGGTAAAATCATTGCAGTACAAATTGTGGAGATTGTATGAAACTGAACTCTGTGAAGTTCAGCTGTAGAGCAGTATAGGAAAAAAACCCTAGCAACACAGATGTGTATTCTTCTGCTGCACCCAGACTTTTGAATTGTCCATTTATGACAGGTCCTCATTAGAAGTTTTTGTAAGACCCTGCTAGTGGAGGTTTTGAGATATCTCTGCATTCCTTCTTAGCTGGCTTGTGTTATGTCAAATGTATCTTGGGCTTACTTAGGCATGGACATGGGAGGGTGGCACAGGGTTTAGTACAACCCCTACATTCTCTCTGCATAGTTTGGGGGTGTCAGACCTCACATGTCACCCTTATTTTCCACAGAATTCACAAGCTATACAGAAATTTTATAAACTTTACTTTGCAGGGATTTCAAAAGTCTAATGAGCTCATGTCATAAATGAACAAGTCATACACAGCCTGCAGAAACGTTTAGGCAATATACATCTGTCAAAGTGGGAGTAGTGACCTATATCGACCTAATAGAACTGTCATACATCTCAGACTCTCAACTTCTGTTCATATTCCATAACTCCTATGGCAGGGGTGGGCAACTGTGGACCTCCAGCTGTTGTAGAACTACAAGTCCCATGAGGCATTGGAAAACTAACAGTTACAAGCATGACTCCCAAAGGCAGAGGCATGATGGGACTTGTAGTTTACCAACTGCTGGAGGGCCACAGTTGCCCACCCCTGTCTTATGGCAATGGAGCTATCTCCCAAAAAGTGGCTACACTACAGGTTCTTGCAAATGGGTTCCTGAGCCTGCTCAGTAAAAAATCCAACACATTAATCCCGCCCAGGAAGACCAGGTGCTGTGTACAGCCTCCCATTGACATGTTGCTGTACGCTGGGCATACAATGGTGCTATCATAGACACAAGCATAGCATACAGCCATTGCAGAAAACAGAAAATAGTAATTTGATTCTGCAAAATAATATGATGGTTTGTGAATTGTGAAACCTTGCCATATGGAAATACAGATGGACCCATTATAGCAGACATTAAGGGTGTGTCTTTTGGGCATAATAAAACATTTCATTACACCTGGGGACAAAGTGAAGGTACATTTATTACATACCTTCTCCAGCTCTGCGTACCCTAAGGAAAAGGGGGGAGCTCAAGTATTGACATAGTATTGACATAGCTCCAAAGGCTCCACAATGGCTGAAAATGGACATGGTCTAGAAACACAAAATAAAAGTGAATAAAGCACCTGGGCCAGATAGCTTACACCCAAGGGTCCTCGAAAGTTATTTATAAGCCATTTTTCAAAATTTTAGAGACCCCCCTCAAGAACTAGTTCTGGCCAGCTCAGTAGATTGTTTATAAAAAAAGAGCTTAAAGCATTCATAAATGCACAAAATATAACTAGGCACTGACATTTATAGGTAATAATACCAGGGAGAGTTGATCCAGGGAATATCCAAATGCCTCCTGGGGGAGAGAGGGATTTTCTTTCCATGCTGGAGTGAATTGGATCAGGCTTGTTTGTTTTTGCAGTCCTCTGGTTCAACTGTGAGTATAGGATAGTGTATATGGAGGTTTTCTATTATAGTTTGCTTTTTATTTTTGGTTGAACTGGATGGAACTGTGTTTTTTTTTCAACCTAACTGTGTAACTGTGTAGCCTACACTACATTCTTCAAACCCTTTGATTAGGTGGAGTTTGATTAGCGACACCTTCTTTGAGACATTAAATAGCTGTTGCAATTGCAGCTCTTAGCACTCCTTTATTATTGAAACTATCAAGGATACTGAGAGTCATCTTTCTGAGGGCCAGTGACTATATCAGATCAGTGCCAAATATTAGGTATTTGGATTAATATTTCAATCAATATGAAAATCCATACAAATTAATCATCTGTGTCATCTATTACAACTCAAAAGTGTAATATTAATAAAAAATGTATAATATAAAAATATAAACAATTCATAAGTCTCTGTTTATAAATAAATGGTGACAATCCCAACAAAATCAATATTGTGATCCAAAATAATATTTGTAAACTTCTGTGTATTCTTAATGTGATTATGCTATGCGCTCACCTCCTTAAAAGCCTAATATTTAGGCATACTTCGCTTTTTGATCACAATTGGAACCTGGTGTAATCTCTTGTTGCGCCGTTTAATGGATGGTGGATATCCCTTAGGAACTTCTTGGTAATCCTCTCCTCATATGCCAGTATCCCTGCTGGGATCTCTCCCTCCATCTACTGCAGCTTTCCCCTCCGTCTCCCCAATCCTGTCCTTGATTCTCCTCCGTACCAAAGTTTATAAAGAAAAAGGGAATATAGTGCCTTATCCTTTTAAAAGTATACTTT